CAGGACAGGGAATGATGGTCAAAGCTAAGGATACAAATTCTGCCAAGTGCCAGTCCACAGATGGCATGAGCCTCCAAACTGAGGACCTAGGCCTACGCGGCCCTGGCCTCTAAAAAACTGGAGTTGTCAGTCCAGTGCCAAGCTCTCCTCATCCTCCCTCGGGCTGGGGCACCTGCCGGCACCATCCAGCACAGGCAGAAGTTCTCCTCTCCTCCGCACAGTCCCTCCAGGGAAAAGAGAAGGACCCTAGGCAGGGGGCTGAGAGTTCCTTAGCCTTAAAGGGTTTTTTAAAAATTCTTAAATCTCTCACCGTGCACAGAACAAAAGTACAAATGCCCTGAAATATCGAGAAAGGGAATCAGAAGGGGACATGGAGAAGACAGACAGGCATGCTCTAAACGATTGTGTATTGGGGGAGGGGGAGGTGCTGGGGTCCAAAGTCTTTATCCACCTCTGTTTGTCTGGCCTCTAATCCTCTGTTTTTTCTTCTTGCACTTGCTTGTGGGTGTTTCGTGGGACTGAGCCCAGGACTTTGTGCACAAGCCAGGCAAGCATCTGAGCTATGTTCTTCAGCCCGTTTCGCATTTGTCCTGAGGTAGGTTCTTTACTAAGTCACCCATGTCAGCTGTGAACTCACTCCAAAGCCCAGGATGGACTTGAACTTGTGACTCTCCTGCCCAGGCTCAGAGTCCAGTTCCACCTCCTGTCCTCACTCCCTGAGGACACGAGCCAACCCACATCCCTGATATTTAACCAACCTGTTTCCCACAGACATGTCCGTCTCTCTCAGCCATCCCTCCACTTGTAAAAAGATCACTGTACCTCGAAAAACATTGAAAAAATACATAAAAGAAAACGGGGGAAATGACAGTAAATAGCATCAGTCCCCTCCTCTTGGTTCAGTTCACCTGTCCTCTAGAAATGAGTCAGCACAGTTTGGCACAGAGTCCAAACAAATGGGGGTGCTGTGAAAACTACCTAAGCCTGGCTAGCCTGGATCTTGCTGAGTAGACAAGCTCACTATGTAACCCTGGCTAGCCTGGAGCTTGCTGTGTAGACAAGGCTGGCCTTGCATGTGTAGTTTATAAGCTTCCCTTTCCTCCTCAATGTTGAGAGTACAGGGTGTGTCACTACATGGCTGCTTTAAAAAGAACTGATGACTGACTGACAGACAGACAGACAGGATAATTTTGGAGTAATACACTCATTAGTAGAATAAGACGGTACAATGTATGTTACTTGTAAGTTGTTTCTTCATTATACGCTATCCTTTTAGGGTAGTATCAAATGGACAACTCCACTGAATCCTCTTACAGTCCCTCTAAACTCAAAAGTGGGAAGATAGCAAAGAATTTCTTTTTAATCTAAAAACATTTAGAAGATAGTATCTTGTCTGTCTAGACATACCCTGTTATATGCAGAAGTCAGTAAACATGGGTGGCCCTGCACATTTAAATGAATTAAAACTAAGTTACAAATTCAATTCCATGGTCACAGTAGCCACCTTTCAAGTATCCAAGAGCTTCCCATGACTGGTAACTAGTGCATCGGACATTACAGACACAGAGAACTTACTGGCCCCCTCAGAAAGCTCCCAGAAGCTGAGCTCACAAAAAAAATCAGCCTGGAATTCCTGGAATTTTTATCTCACTTGGCAGTTAATATTGGAGCTCACCAATCAGGACGCATGGGTGAAGTTGAAAAGAAAAATGAAGGCCACCCAAATCCAAAGACTCCCTCTATTCCAACACAAACATGGCCCAGAGGTTACACCAAACCAAAATGTCTCTAGATATTTCAAAATGTCTCCAGACAGCAGCGGGCATCAGGCTCCAGGGCCCCTGAACCCAGTCCCACACAGTCTGCTTCTTGCTGAACCCTTCCTGCGTGGCAGGGAATGCCCCTGTTATTTTACTACCATGCTTGATTGACAAGGCTTAAGTCACAGGCTTAAATTCTATACTCTGCTCAGACATGATTCAAGAACCGTCTCCAATCAAATGCAACTAAATTCCATGATGTACCAGGTCTTTTTAACCATGGATCCACGATGAACCACTCAAGCTGCTTCTGGAATTTGACTTTTCTAAATAGCCCTGTCATAAATGTTGATTATGAAAATCTTTCCTATTATTCAGGATGAAAGTCTACAAGACACAAGGCAAGAAATGGTTTCTCTTGAGTCACAAGGCTATGAGCACCCATAATCTAACAGGTCCCTTTCTGAAGAGACAGACTGATGCACTGCCTGACAGCAGACCAAAGGCCCTCTTAGCCATGCTAGTCCCACTGGTGTGGATTATCCATCTTATTCATTTTGGCCAATATGATAGTTTCCACTTGCTACCGCTTCATCATTAGTGAGGCCAAGGATCTATTTGCATGCTAATTGGATGTTTGAAGATCCATTACATGGTCTTTACATAGCCTTTTTACGCATTTTGCCATGTTACTTTTTATAGACTAGTTTGTCTTTGGATGATTGATTAGTAAAGAATTACTGCTCTTATGTTTCATTTTATGTAAACTAAACATCTATCTTCCTCAAGCCACCCCTGCCTGCTCAACACTCCCACTCTTTCTTTGATTGAACTGAAGATGTCTTTTTCCATTTGTATGTTTCTGTTGAGTTTTGAATTTTTTGGAGATAAGGTTTCATAGTGTTGCCCAGACTGAACTGGGACTCCCAACAATCTTCCCGCCTTGGCTTCTTGAATGCTAGTGTTATAGAGAAGTACCACGACACCTGATTTAAGTCTTCATATGACGAGGTCTTTCTGGCTTTCCCTTTAACCCCTCTCAGTCATGCCTTTTGTAAGAAGCTGTTTTCCCCACTCCGTGACCGTAATCATCTTTCTGCGTTTCCTTTTGTCTTAACGTTTTCCTATGTTATATACCAAACTGGAAGCTACATGGGATTTAGTTTTGTACAGGATAAGAAATATGCTCTTTTTATTTTCTTGTAAAATAGCCAACTGTGTCAACATCATTGCGTTAGTTACTTTTGGTTAACGTAATACGCTACATGCTCCCCCACTCTTGGCAGCTGTTCCAAGCCTTTTGCTCTCTCCTCATGACTCTTTTCATCACACCCTGAGACCCCTCATCTTCCCTCTGACTACAATACCTGCTCTTGCCTGGACCAAACCCCAGCTGACTCAAGAGCTTTGTATTGTCTCTCCCTGCCAGTCCTTCCTCCAGGCCACACAGATGAAAAGTCCTCACCTTTAAGGCAGAAAAGAATCCTCGCTAGCCTACAGCTCTCTCCTCATTACCACCATTTCCTTTTGTCCTCTTCACCAAAGTTTCTGAAAAGTGTCTGCACTGGTTATAACTTCCCCGCCTCTTCAAAATTCAATAACTGAATCCCTTCCATTTAGGTTTGCTCCCTACCAGTCCTCAAAATTTGTGGTGACCACTAACCTCCATATTTGCCCAAAACGACAGACGGCTTGATGCTCAAGCTCCTAGCAACAACTTCTTGCACAGCCTATGACCTATTAGTCTGTTGTTAAGTTCATCTATGACCTATTAGTCTGTTGTTAAGTTCATCTATGACCTATTAGTCTGTCGTTAAGTTCATCTATGACCTATTAGTCTGTTGTTAAGCTCATCTATGGCCTGTTATTCTGTTGTTAAGTTCATCTATGATCTATTAGTCTGTTGTTAAGTTCATCTATGACCTATTAGTCTGTTAAGTTCATCTATGGCCTGTTAGTCTGTTGTTAACTTCACCTATGACCTATTAGTCTGTCGTTAAGTTCATCTATGGCCTGTTATTCTGTTTCCCACGGGTTCAGGTCCACTCATCTCTTACTGTTTTCCCCACTGCACCTCCTGTTTCTTCTCAGTCCTCCTCAGAAAACCCTCCCCTGTCTCCAATCCCTATGTGCAGGTAACTTCAGTCCCAGAAGACTTCCTGTCTTCTCTAACAAACTCTATGTGGCCCCATCCAGCCCCATTCCTTTTAAATACCTCACAGATGCCTAATTTTTTTATCTCCATGCCCAACCTCAGATCTGTTCTAAAACTCCATGTACGTCACTAATATCACATGTATCATGGCTTAGACATCTAGTCTGTGCAGCAACATAACGTATCCAAGATCAAAACACAGCTAAACAGGGAGCTGGAGAGACGGCTCAGTGGTTCCAAGCGCTCACTCCTGCAGAAGACCCAGGTTCGGCTCCTAGCCCCCACACGGAGTTCACAAGGGACTTTAACTTCAGTTTCAGGGAAGAAGACACCACTCACGTCTGACCTCTCTGGGGTCCTGGATGCAGCTGATGCACAAATATAGACTCAGGCACACACATAATAAAATAATTTTAAACCCACACATCAAACCGGCAGACTCCCCCATTCCATTACTACCGTACCTAACTACTCCCCTTCTTACCTCAGTCACCCTAGAAGCCTTCTAGCTACTCTCTATCCAGCTGTGCCACATTCTCTCTGCCCTGACTTTATTCCTCTCAAGTAGTTCTCGGCCCCTTGAAATTACTCATCAAAACTGAAAGCGTTTTCTCAAACTTTTCCAGCGGCTTCCCGTACGCAAAACTAAAACCCAATCTTCTTGTAACCCATAAAATCGTCACCTGAGCCCTGCCTCACTGTCCCAACTCCGCCCTCACCACTACTGTGACACTTCCTTTTCCAACAAAAACGAATTAACTTTACACGCCGTTTTAATTATCATGTATAGAAGTCACTGAGAGAATTGCCTCTGCAGTCCATATGCGCATCAAACTAGTTTCCACTCTGTGATCTTCGTTCCTGCCCGCCCCCTCTACTGACACTCTGACTCAAACATCTCTGCACAGCTAAACTGCTGTGCCCTCAAGTCACTTTTGATCCCCAGGGCCTAGGTCCTTGTCTGACACCACACTGCTGAAGGCAGAAGCAAACGAATGTTCACATATAGAGTCGTTACAAATCTGACTAAATGCTTTAGTTTAGTAACTACACCTCGGGCAACGCGATTTTCGAGTGTCACTCACTTTTCGTTGTTTCCCGGAGTCCAACTTTATGAGCCAGTAGGAAGCCACTTTTGTTTTGTAATGCTTCCAGTTATCCATGATCTGTTGGGGGGAGAGATGTTAACAAACTGATTCCAAGATGCTCACCAAAGGGAGTAGGTAAACGTGTCAGCACAGATTGTATTAATTTGTGCAGTGAAAGCACCATGAGATTACGTATAATAAAAACCCTACCCTGCATAAAAAAGATACTTGAAAAGGTTTAAGCAAGCCAAGGGTTCTAAATCCAAAGCCTTTTCTTCCTCTCTGCTGAGAATAGCATCACTCAATGAGTAAAAGTCAGAAATCTGTAGACACACATATTTTTAGACAGAAACCCAACCAACAGATTTTTCTCATCTTGCTATGTTGTCCACATAGCAATAGAGTATTAAATAATACATTAAAAGTCTGCTTACACTCAATTAGGATCCTACTAACTCTTTCTTTGTATTACCTGTATGCCTACAGAATTTCTCAATATATGTTCTAGTAATATATGCTGTAGCAAATATCCAAGTCTGGAACACAGTACACGTGTAGCAAAGAATCTGATGTCTGTTATTAATTATTATGTTTCACTAATTATATAAGCCTAGAAATATTCTTTATAAGAGAATCACATTAGTCACAAATATTAGCTCTACTCTCTCATTTTCTAGTTAAAAAATAACCTTAATGGGGCTATAGAGATGGCCCAGTGGTTAAGGGCACTTGTTCCTCTTACAGAGGGCCTGGGTTCAATTCCTAGCACCCATGTGGTGACGAATAACTGTAACTCATGTTCTAAGGGACCCAATGCCTTTGACCCTTGAGCAGTGGGCATACATGTAGTGCATATATATGTATATGTAAAGGAATAATACTCATACAAATGAAATGAATACATTTCAAAAGTAAAAAAAAGCAGATCATAAAAACAGACAGAAAATGATATATCCTGTGCAAAGTTACTGGCTTTCCTTAAAATAAACACTGTCTGAGAAGTCTTATCCAACTGGTGACACTGTGCACTGGACAAAGGTGCTCACTGTCACATGTTATAAGCGCAATTCAGTCCCTGGACATACATGCAGGATGACAGGAGACAACTGACCCCCTCAGAGCTGTCTTCTGGCCCCCACAGGTGTGGCATGGCACATGTCCACTCACATGCATACACTAAACAATAAATGATACATGTAATTTATCATGTCTATCATATGCCTTATACTCAGTCTACAATTTCTCTTGCTGTAACAAGTAGCAGCTCCCCCACAAACAACATACCACTTTCACTTGTGATAAACCGTATCACCACAAAATGCAAAACATTCGGATAGCTTATAATTATCTAAAAACAAGAATATGATACCCTTATGGGCTTTTACAGCAAGAAAACTTTATCTTGTTTTGCTATTATTTCTATTTCTATAGACTTGCTTTATAAAGCAATGTGAACAGTGAAACAGAGTAAGCTGTGGTTGTTATTCTTCACATGATCCACTAGATGGCGCCTTGCCTTCTGGGAAGAAAAAAAAAGATTACAACCTACACCATGCCACTCCAAACAGCATTCTCTGGCTGATGAATGATCTAAGAATGGCCATTTAGAAAGTGTGCTGGATGGAGAAGAGAAAACTTGAGTGAAGAAATGTTCTTCCATCAAGCCATCTCTGTAACCTTGGATTGATTTCTTTCTAAACTGGGAGCTGAGCCTCTGGACCGCTGTCGTTTCCAAAGTCTCCACGGGGTGGCACTAGTGAAAACAATCCAGCCAGGCTGTTTCAACACACGATAAGTCCATCCACATGTCACCTTTACATCTTCTTGCCATTCCCCATCGGGGTGCTACTATTCTCAACACATTTCTTTTCACCTTAGACTTCTTCAACTTAGGGAGCTTTTATATGTAAAAAAAAGTTTATCCTGATATTTCTCTGATTATGAAGAACAGTTGCTATCTGATGTTAACTGTCCTCACTCGACAGCCTTATTATATGGCAAACGTTTAACAACTAAAATGAATTCTTCTAATTTATAAAGTTTCTGGGAGCTAAAAGGAACATCAATTACATTTCCTGTGCAATTAAAGACAATTCCGCCAGAAAACATATTGTTGTGTAGATGTCTGGGAAGTATGTGTCCATGTACATACATGAACAGTGCACACATATGCTGGTGTGTGTGTGGCATGTGTACATGTGTGTGCGCACGTGTGTGTGTGTGTGTGTGTGTGTGGCATGTGTATGTGTGGCATGCAAGCATGTGTGGCATGTGTGTGTCTGTGTCTTTGTGTGTGCATGTGCGTGTGCATGTGTGTGTATGTGTGTCTGTGTGTATGTGTCTGTGTGTGTGAGTCTGTGTGTGTGTGCATGTGTGTGAGCATGTATGTGTGTGTGTGCACACGCACGTACATATGCACATGCACACCTGTAGATGGCAGAGATCAGTCTTGGATGTCTTTCCTCAGGCAGGAATTACCTTTTTGAGATCTAATGTCTCACCAGGACCTGGAGCTCACCAAGTACCCTGCGGTAGCTGCCATCAACTCCCAGGAATCCTCCTGTCTCTGCCTTCAGGTTCCCAGTGCTGATATTACAGGTGCATGCCGCCATGACAGGCTCTTAATGTAGGTGCTGGACATCCAGATCAAGATCTAATGCTTGCCCGGCAAGCACTTTGCCAATGAATCCCATCCCCCCAGTCCCAGGAAATACATTTCAGCACTCTTTGGATTTTTTATGCCTCAGTTACTCACATCGTCTATCAGAAGCTCCGACTCCGCGTCTGACTTCCCTGGAAAACGGATCCGCATGTCCTTGAGAATAAACAAGGTCTGACTTGTGAGGTCATCTTCCTGTTCTTTTGAGTTCAGTTGCCGCAGAGACTCATTCTTAAATTGGAAAGAATACAGACATGTGGAGCGGGGTCTTACTGCAGTGTGCCAATATAATTGAAAGGATAACTCCAGGTAAAAACAATCTACCCTTCTTTTTTAAATGGACATTCGCAAACTTTTAGCATTAAATTGGTTATTATTCACAAGGGTATCTTTTATATTTCCTCCTGGTTGTATTTTTATGTTGCTCAAGATATAAATGTTAAACATGAGGTATCTTAAAAGGGCTTCTAAGTCTTCTTCATTTGCTACAAATTCTTGATTGGAAAAATAAAATCAGTAATGAATAAATAAATTCACTTATACTTCCTGAGTTTTGCCATTGGAAACATCAATGTTAATGAAAAAATAAATAAATACCCGGTCTAGCTCCAGGAAAACAGAATAAAGCTACAGACTTTCTCAATTGTAAGTTCCTGTACTTTATGCTGAAAAGGGGATACGACATGTAAATTTGGTGTACAGAAAGCATTCTGAGCAGCATTGTACCTAGGCTCTATGAGTAGGATTTATCAGTCTTTAAACTGTTATTAATCTAGAGTCTTAAGAGATACGTTCCACAGAATAAATGTGCATGCATTTACTCAGACGATTGCCAACAACATTACCCGCCTGCAATGGAAAATGGGGGAAAAAAAGCAATTGTTTTTTTTTTTCTATCTGTCCTTGAGGTCTGTGATATGGTGAAGTTGGCCTTTTAGGAGCCCATCCTAAACTGGGGTCTAGGAAGCATGAACAACGCAGCTTCCAAAGATGGTGCATTGGAATACAGGAAGGGTCAGGGGTTCCTCTCATCCACTCAGCTCGCCACCTACGCTCTGAGTGTGGCATCCTCGGCAGCCCCGAAAGGGCACGGTCGATGGGTCGCTTACCACCAGAGAGTTGGCAGAGCCGACATCGCTACCGCTGGGCAGGTGTCTCGAGTAGGAGGAAGCACGGTTTAAGGAATGCGACCGGGTTGCTGAGGTGGGCCGTGCTAGCGGTATCACTTGCTGAGAAGAGAAGGGGCGTGCATCCCCACTGGAGGGCAAGTGAGCAGAGATGGACCGAGGGCAGCTGACGGAACGCCTCATGGAATCTAGCGGTGACGGAGAAGCGATGCTGTTAGTACACTTTTCCCCTGCTGGGTCTCCACAGACTAATGCTTAGACCAGGTGGTGGCTGCATGACAAACGTCAAAGCCTAGACACCAGCACAAGAAGAAAACTTCGGAACCAATTCTCCAGTTTGACCAGCGCACTTGGTACAAAACAGTTCTGTCCTTAGAGAGGTTGTGCTGGGAAACGCTGCACACAGGAATTAAATTCTAAGTTCTCAAAGTGAGAGACATTGGAGAAACAAGAACAAAGAAGGGGACACAACACTCGTGAGCACTTGTAAGCCAGGCATCCTGCAAGATCCTGAACCTTGATGTCATGCTTTACGGTAACCTCTGCAGAAGGCGTGCGGTGGTGTGTGTGTGTGTGTGTGTGTGTGTGTGTGTGTGTGTGTGTGTGTGTATTAGTGCTGGGACACACATGCCATGGCACACATAGGGAGTTCAGAGGACTTCAGTTTTCAGTCCTTGCCTTCAGCTTGTTTGCGATAAGGTCTTCTCGTCATTCGTCATCCATGGCTGTAGACACAAGACTAGCTGTCACCATTCCCCATCTAGAGTACAGGATACTTCTGGCTTCACCTCCCCATCTCGCCACGGGAACACGGAATTACAGACATGCTACTGCACCCGGCATCATCTGGGTTCTGGGAACCTGAACTCAAGTCCACACACTAGCACAGCAATCATCTCACCCACTGGGCCATCTCTTTAGCCAGGAGAAGGGATTTCTATTGTCGAGAACAGCAGAGTAACGGCCCTCCCAAAGCATCACAGCAAGATGGTGGCCAAGGTCAGCTGTCACCTAAGTCCTCACCATGGAATGCTGACAGCCTCCACTTTCATTATAATGCCACAGTCGTCTGCTAACCTTGCATGGAGGCTGGCTAGTAGCTCTCTGTGTAGGTTGGAGATTTTACATTTTACAGCAAGGAGCACAGGAGAGGAGGAAATGAAAACAGAGGGGCTGGTGTAAAGATATAAGGTAGAGAATCCCGGGCCTCTGGTAACAGTCACAAAACAAAAGAATAATATGAAGAGTATTCTAATGTAATTTAAATATAATTGGCTATTAAAAGAGCTGCAGCCAGCTGGTAGTCTTACACACAGAGGTGAGAGAGAGAGAGAGACAGAGAGAGACAGAGACAAAGAGAAAGACAGAGAGAGAGAGAGAGACAGACAGACAGACAGAGAGGATTCAACAATGTAAGTGAAGAAGAAAATAAAGTTAAAGAACAGGACTGCCATCAGATTAAGTATCTAAGGAAACCATCAAATATGTGCCCTTGTGCATTCTGGGAACACTGATGAAGGAAAAGCACATAGCCATGGTAAGCTATGGCTCCTGACCTGGAGAAAGATAACTGCTCAACACCATCAGCTTTTTTATCTTTTCTTCTGCTCATTTGTCCTGCAGATCCTCTATCCTGGATTTGTTCCCTGCTAGGGGAATATGTCAATCATCATTAATTAAATAATTTAATAAAACTCACATGAAGCCAGGTTGTATACCCAAATATGTCTCTTCATCGGCTGTTGAAAAGAATTCAAAGCTTCGTAAAGGTGATGGTTATAAATAGAAGATTTAGGGGCATGCTTCTAAAAGATACTGTGAGCATGTGAGAAATGTTTCTTTATGTTCTGGAGAGCATTAAAATACACACCCATGCAAGCTTTAGAAGATGCTGTCTAAAACAAAGCAAAGAAGCTTCTGTTTGTTGCAACTATTAACTTCCTCCTGTTCCTGTGACACACAGCACTTTAACAGCACACTATATAGGAACAGAAAGCTGGTCAGTCTACCTTTAAAGAATATTAGTTACAAAGGTCACATATTTAACATACAACAATAATACAAAGGTCATGTCGACCAAAAAAAAAAAAAGATTCTAAGATATTTGCTCCAAACTACACTGTAGCTCTACCCTCTTTCCTAGTCTAAGGTAGGGAAGGACTGAATAAGTAAACCCTGCTCCTGGGTCAGAAGGGAAATAATTTCCAGAATCAGTGTGAATGCTGACTTCTCACCTACATACCTGGAAATCCAGACAAGAAGACTAAAGTAGCTTGATACACAGTGAAAGATTAGGAAACAGTTGCGACTTCCGACTATAAATCATGTGAGAAAAAAATCTTTTATGTTGTTTCTGAGGCAACAACACCCCTAAGTCCATTGTCTACACTAGAAAGTATGACCCATGATCTGGGTGTTGACCTTGGTCATCAGTTTATGGAGGATTTGTGACTATGAGACTCTTAGAGTAAGATTAAAGACAGAATACAAAACAAAGTGAAGCCCTCGTTATAAGCCCTGCCTAAACACATAGTAAGGAAATAAATAGGTAATTGAGTTAGGCTGAAAATGAAAATTCCTACATCAAAATGTGTTTTAATTCACTTTATTATACTACTGTCTGATCTCAGTTCTTTAGTCATATTGGTCCCAGAGCGTAGAACAATCTCTACCTGACCCTCATCACTCATCAGTTCATGCTATTAAGTAACAGTCACATTAGCTAACAGGCAATGGATCTAAAACCCAGCAAAATTTGGACATAAAAATGTCAGCTTCCAGAATAAAACCTGAGACACACTTACAGAACCCTTATGGAGAAGAAGTGAAGGGGTGTTAATAGCTAACAATTGCGGGTACTGGGAACTATCTACCAATGAGATGGAATGCGGTACATTGTTTCCCCTCCAAACTCACAAACCTTCCAGGACAAGAGCAGTGGGGCATGAATCTTTACGGAATGTTTGCAAAACACAAAGGGATGGCTCCCTGATTTCTTCACTTATTAGTTCTTCATTCCTTGGGCATTTTACTACAAGCCTCGAAGGCCAGTTTTAAGACACATTATCAGGACCCAAATATATTAAACATTGCTGAAGAGCAAATACACAAAGGCTCCAGCTGTGTTTACTGCAATGTTGAGCTGGGGGCCCTGGTGGAGCCTTGGGACACTGTGTGCTGTGGGAATGGCTGTGTGACATGGGTGTTAAGATGGTTCCAGCTCAGAGACAGCAGCCAGACTTCAAGGGAGTCTGGGAAAATGGAGATATTAGCTTCCATATTTGAAGATGAGTGGCAAATCAGAGGCCAGATTGAGGATGTTTGGGGTTGAAGGAAGGAATGAAAGGAAAAGAGAGTTTGTGAAGATAATTGAGAGAGAGAGAGAGAGAGAGAGAGAGAGAGAGAGAGAGAGAAAGGGAAGGAGGGAGGGAGAGAGAGAGGAGGAGAAGAAGAAGAAGAAGAAGAAGAAGAAGAAGAAGAAGAAGAAGAAGAAGAAGAAGAAGAAGAAGAAGAAGAAGAGAGAAGAGAAGAGAATGGAAGAGAAGAGAAGAGAAGAGAAGAGAAAAGAAGAGAAGAGAATAGAAGTTGGTTGCTTTCCCAAATAGATGTGTCCAAAGTCTTGATTAACTGCTTACCCAAGATGAGAGCCAGAGGGAGGAAAATTTCCACTACTTTACAGCTCTGAGGCTCACAGACACATCGAATCAGACACTCAAAGAGACAGTCATAGGTTCAAAAACAGGTGACGATGCCAAGCAAAGCAGGCGATAGGTGGAAACTGAAGTAGAGATGATGTCCCCTCAAAAAGAGCACCTGCCTAAAAGCTTTGTCACACATCCGTAAAACCCATGCCACAACTCAGCAGGCCAGATGGAAGGGAGGGTCCTCCGTTCAACCTGTTTCCTACTTGCAGAACTTGAGAGGGGTTGAGGGATGGACCAGGCTCTGGCCAGGGAAAAGACAGGGGCTAGGATACAGATTCCCCTCACACATGACAACGCTTCTTTTGGCCCAAGGACTTTTTATTGATTTTGAGAGTCTCAGTTCTAGAGTTCTTCACGTACCAACGTAGGAGAGATTCACTTACTGGATTGTTGAATTAGCTTGCAGTGACTGGTGTGTCTAAGGTTATATGGAGCCTGCTCTCGTTTCTTCTGACACAGCTCTTTCTCATTCTCATCCAGCTCTGAACTGCTGCCGCTGCTGCTGCTGTCGTAGCTGCTCTCGCTGCTGTAGTAACTTTTCTGCTTCTTCATTACCTCCGCACATTCGGGCATGCAACACAGGGGCTGAAACAGAGCCACACGCTGTCTGTCAGAACCCCCTGGGTAAGCATTGCCTTTAATCCCCACATGCTCGCTGCTTATTGGTGAATATGGACGTCCCTCTCTGCTCTCTCTTCACACACCAGCTCTAAGGCTTCCTTGAAAGAAATTTATTTATTCAGTTATGTGGCTCAGCCCTGATTAGGACAATGATGTTTCTATAAGACTGCAATAAACAAAGAGTTTCTGTAAACAAAGAACAGCAAAGTGGGGGGAAGTGCCTGATCTAAAATATATATATATATATATATATATATATATATATATGTATGTATATAAACATAATCTGTTTTTGTTCATTCTATAGAGAGAGATTAGGCATCAGGGCTCACCCAATAAAAAGTGAGTGGGTGCGAAGAGAGAGAGAGAAAGATAGGCAAGAAGGACAAAGGAACTAAGAGAGCAGAAACAAGAGAAGCCATTAGAAGTAAGATCATGCATTCAAGCCAGACGGTGGTGGCACACGCCTTTGATCTCAGTACTCAGGAGGTAGAGGCAGGCAGATCTCTGTGAGTTTGAGGATAGCCTGGTCCTCAAAAACAGTTCCAAGACAGCCAGGTGGCTCAAAGAGAGCCCAAGAATCTATCCACTCAGATAATATTTAGGAAGTAAGTCACTGCTCAGGTGAATAGTTCACAGTTGACATTTATTTATTCACTTATTTATTTTCTTGGAATTGAACCTAGGGTTACTCTCATTAAACTCTTTCATATAGTTGGAAAACAAACATTTTACTAAATTTGTTACAGATGACTTGAGACCCTGGTGGGGGAAGTCCTTCTGTGTATATGTTGTCTTATTGGTTGATAAATAAAGCCCTATTGGCCAATAGGGAAGCAATATAGGTGGGACTAGGAGTCAAGGAGGATTCTGGGAAATGGAGTAAAGGGTAGAGAGTTGCCATGTGATCCCAGAAAGAGAGGACGCATGAGGCTAGTGTCCTCGGCAAGATAAGTCCTTATAGAAATATATAGATTAGCAATTATGGGTTAATACTTAAGACAGAACTAGCCGATGAAACGCCCTGGACACTGGCCAACAGCATTGTAACTAATAGAGTCTCTGTGTGTTATTTGGGGTTGATGTGGCCCTGGGACCAGGCTGGGGGGAAGAATGCTCATTACATGACTCTTCATAGAGGATCTCTAATTTTGGCAGTCTGGTCACAGTGAACTAGCACTGCTTTTTATCATCAGTGTGACATATGAAAATCACTATGGTGTGAAACCTTGTAGACAAAGAGTGACTCTGTACAGGTCTGATTATCATGGTACTGTGTCCTAATATTTCTAATAGAATCAACGACTTCCACTCCTCATAATAGACAAAGAAACCAGGTGACGACGGGACAGGGAGACAGATGAAATGGCCCAGTTCACAAAGACTATGCATAACGGACAGCAAGACAGTCCTGTAACTCAGTTGTTGTAAGCCTGCTTGTTACACACACACCATACACCAACTGCAGAGACAGTCAGTTGCCGTTGTATAATAGTGGCTTTGGTATGGTTGTGTATCATAATCAATTCCTTGGATGCCATGGGAAGTTATGGAAAGAAACTATGACCCTCTCCAGAGTGACAGTGCAGGATGAGAGAAGGAAGGGAGAGAGACTGTCTGGAATACAAAGCATGATGACGTTAAAGTTACAGCCTGTGCACAAAAAATTAAAAAAGAAAGAAATGCAACCAAAGGGAGAAAGGATCTGAATACACCAGTTACCAACTTATCTTTAAACATATGCGTCTAATACTTACAGAGAACTAAAAATGATCAAACAGATTTACATGAAAACATTTGCCAGTAACACAGTCATCAAATACACTGACAACCTTGGCAAACATGAACTCTAGAGAAAAGATGTCTCTTCAGAAGTGTAGCATACCCCGAAGGAATGGTGGCCCCGCCAAGCTTGCAGGAGTGCCTTCCTTCAAGCTTTCCCCAAAGGCACTAACTACATAATCATCCAGCCCTATGAAGAAATCGCAGAGGTAGACGGCTAAACCTCTGTATCTTGCAAGCGTTTTTGAACATTTTGACCAACATACTGTAAGTAAATAGGAGTCATAGAGATAAAAACTCCCAATAGAACTCTAACTATGAGACAGGATTTTGAAAATGCCATGATGTTATGACACAAATCATGCTACTTAATTTTCCTTATAGCTTTATTATGAAACAGGGCAAATATAAAAATACATAAATGTACAGATAAAGTAAACATATGTGTATCAACTTAAGAACATTGCCAATGTGTTTCGTAGCACTTATTTATGTGGCTAACTAATATTCCTTAATTTTAAAATAAGTAAGATGCTACTACTATTCATCATAGTAAAAAATTGATTTAACAAGGGACATTTCAAATTATTCTTCATCTAATGAAGAACTTGGTGACAGGTGTTTACTATGAAGCACTCTACCTCTGAATTAGAAGTTCTCTTTAGAAGTTTGGGTCATGGGTGCCCTGCTTGAGCTGCTTGAGGCCTGGGGACTGCACACTGGGGATCCCATCCCATCGGTCCAGCCCAACACAGATGAAGCAGACAAGAACGATCTTAAAAAAAAAAACTTCATGAAAGTGATAGAGACCAGACGGATGTTGGTGGCGCATGCCTTTAATCCCAGCACTCAGGAGGCAGAGGCAGTCAGATCTCTGTGACTTTGAGGCCAGCCTGGTCAACAGAAAATGATAGAGACCATCAAAGAGAATTTGAGAAAATCCCTTAAAGAAATGGAAGAAAAAACAAACAAAAATACAAGAAATCAACAAATATATTAAAGAAAACCAAGAAAAAATAATCAAACAGATGAAGGAAACAGTTCAAACAGTTCAAGAACTGAAATAGAGACAATAAAGAAAACAAACTGAGGGAATGCTGGAAATAGAAAAGCTGGGTAAACGATCAAGCATAACCAAGCATAACCAAGAGAATACAAGAGATGGAAGAGAGAATCTCAAGCACTGAAGATACATTAGGAGAAATAGATTCATCAACCAAAGAAAATCTTAAGTCCAACAAATCCTTAACACAAAACATCCAGGAGATATGGGACACAGTGAAAAGACCAAACCTAAGAATAATAGGTACAGAAGAAGGTGAAGAAACCCACCTCAAAGGGGCAGAAAACATATTCAACAAAATCATAGCAGGAAACTTTCCCAACCTAAAGAAAGACATGCCAATGAAGGTACAAGAAGCTTACAGAACACCAAAGAGAGTGGACCACATAAAAATCCCCTCATCACATAATAATAAAAACCCAAAACATACAGAATGAAGAAAGAATATTAAGAGCAGCTAAGGAAAAATGCCAAGTAACATATAAAGGCAAACCTATCAGAATCACACCTGACTTCTCCATGGAAACTCTGAAAGACAGAAGGTCCTGGATAGATATTCTACCAACAGTAAGAGATCATGGATGTCAGCCCAGACTACTATACCCAGCAAAGTTTTCAATTACTATAGATGGAGAAAACAAGATATTCTATGACAAAACCAGATTTAAACAGGCTGGGAAAGAAATCAGAGAAACATCACTCTTTACAGTTGCCACAAACAGCATAAAATACCTTGGGGTAATGCTAACCAAACAGCTGAAAGAGCTGTATGACAAGAACTTTGAGCCTTTAAAGAAAGAAATTAAAGAAGACACCAGAAAATGGAAAGATCTCCCATGCTCTTGGATAGGTAGAAGCTAACATAGCAAAAATGGCAATCTACAGATTCAATGAAACTCCCATCAAAATCCTAAGCACAATTCTTCACAGACCTTGAAAGAGCAATACTCAACTTTATATGGAAAAACAAAAGACTCAGGATAGCCAAAACAACCCTGTAAAATAAAGGAAATTCCAGAGGCATCACCATCCCTGACTTCAAGTTCTATTATACAGCTATAGTCCTGAAAACAGCTTAGTATTGGCACAAAAATAGACAGGTAGACTAATGGAATTGTATTGAAAACCCAGATATGGACCTACACTCCTAGAAACCCCTAATTTTTGACAAAGAAGCTAAAATTATACAATGGTAAAAAGAAAGCATCTTCAACAAACGGTGCTGGCATAACGGGATGCTGGCATGCAGAAGACTGCAGATAGATACATATCTATCTCCATGCACAAAACTTAAGTCCAAATGGATCAAAGACCTCAACATAAATCCAGGCATACTGAACCTGTTAGAAGAGATAGTAGGTGATACCCTCAAATGAACATAACACAAGTAACACAGACACTGAGATCAACAATTATTAAATGGGACCTCCTGAAACTGAGAATCTTCTGTAAGGTAAAGGACACAGTCAACAAGATAAAATGGCAGCCCACAGAATGGGAAAAATTTTCACCAACCCCACATCTGACAGAAGGCTGATTTCCAAAATATACAAAGAACTCAAGAAGCTAGTCACCAAAACACCAAATAATCCAACTAAAACGTGGGGTTTGGGAGATGTCATTCTGTAAAAATGTGTCTTATTGGTTTGAATAAAGCACTGTTGGCCAATAGGAAAGCAAGATAGGTGGGACTAGGAGTCAAGGAGGATTCTGGGTAAGAGCAACACAGAGAGACACGATGTAGCTGCCATAGGAGTAAGAGGTCCGGATGTTTCTCTGGTAAGAGAAATACTTAGATTAACAATTATGGGTTAAATACTTAAGTCAGAGATAGACAGTAAGAAACAAGCAAACGGCCAACAGCTTCATAATTAACATAGTGTCCTGTGTGTTATTGGGGGACTGCAACTGTGGCAGGGCCAAGGCAGATGTCGGGGAAGTCTACACTCTACAGTGGGGTACAGAAATAAATAGAAAATTCTCATTAGAGGAATCTAAAATGACTGAAAGACACATAAGAAAGTGCTCAACAGCCTTAGTCACCAGGGAAATGCAAATAGAAACAACTGTGAGATACCATCTTGCTCCTATCAGAATGTCTAAAATCGAAAGCATCAAT